ACTAATCTGACGTTCTCCAGTGATAGGTAAGCCTTTTTTCTGGGGAGGGGGGGCAGAAAGGCAATCAAATTTACTTTTTTATTTTGGACAGTTTTTTTTTATTGAAAGATAATTGATTATATGTATTTGTGGGGTACAGAATTGCGTATCAATACATTTGTACAATATGTAGTAATCAAATCAGGGTAATTAGTATACTCATATTTTGAAATGTAATCCATCTTTGTGACTCAACTAATTTCTTGCTAACCTCCCACCCCCTTTCTCACCTCTAATAACCACAGTTCTGCTGTCTCTCTCTTGTGTTTTTTGAAAGGTCAATGTATTATTGTGATTTTTCCTTTACCCCTACCTCCCTCCTTCCTTTCCCCACTAATGAATGAGGACATTCGGTATTTGTTTATTTGTGCTTGGCTTATTTTGCTTAACATAATTTTCTCTAAGTCATCCATGTTGCTGCAAATGGCAGAATTTCATTCTTTTTTTGGCAAAGTAGTATTCCATTGAGTACACATACCACAATTTCTTTATCCAGTCATCTGTTGGTGGACATATAGGTTGATTCCAACTTTTGGCTATTATAAATAGAACTTCAATAAATGTGGGAGTGCAGGTATCCCATTGACATGATGATTTCCATTCCTTTCGATATATATCCAGCACTGGGATTGCTGGATCATATGGTAGCTCTATCTGCAGTTGTTTGAGGAACCTCCATGCTGTTTTCCATAATGGGGGCTATACTAATTTATAGTCCCACCAACAGCGTAGGAAGTTTCTCCTTTCTCCACATCCTTACCAGCATTTGTTTATTCTCTGTCTTTTGATAACGGCCAGTCTAACTAGGGTGAGATGGTATCTCAGTGTGGTTTTGATTTGCATTTCCCTGATGCCGAGTGATGCTGAGCATTTTTTCATGTGTCTGTTGGCCATTTGTATGTCTTCATATAAGAAATGTCTATTCAGCTCCTTTGCCCATTTTTTAATTGGGTTACTTGTTTTCTTACTGGTGAGTTGTTTGAGTTCTTTGTATATTCTGGATATTAATCCTTTGTTGGATGCAAATATTTTTTCTCATTCTGTAGGTTCTCTTTTTGCTCTGTTAATTGTTTCTTTTGCTTTGCAGAAGCTTTTTACTTTGATATAATCTCATTTGTTTATTTTTTCTTCTGTTGTCTATGCTTTTGATGTCTTATTCATAAAGTCTTTGCCTAGTCCTACATCCTGAAGTGTTTCCCCTATGTTTTCATTTAGGAATTTTATAGTTTCAGGTCTTATATTTAAGTTTGTAATCCATTTTGAGTTGATTTTGATGTATGGTGAGAGATATGAGTCTAGTTTCATTCTTCTACATATGGATGTCTGGTTTTCCCAGCACCATTTATTGAAGAGGCAGTCTTTCCCCCAATATATGTTCTTGTTGGCTTTGTCAAAGGTCAGTTGGCTGTAAGTATGTGGGTTGATTTGTGGGTTCTCTATTCTGGTCCATTGGTCTGAGTGTCTGTTTTTATGCCAGTACCATGCTGTTTTGGTTACTGTAGCTTTCTAGTATAGTTTGAAGTCAAGGAGTGTTATGCCTCCAGCTTTACTTTTTTTGCTCAGGATTGCTTTGGCTATTCGGTGTCTTTTATTGTTCCATATGAATGTTAGGATTATTTTTTATATATCTGTGAAAAATGTTATGAGTATTTTCATGGGGATTGAATTGAACCCCTAGATCGCTTTGGGTAGTATGGACATTTTCACAATGTTAGGTCTTCCAGTCCAAGAGCATGGAATGTGTTTCCACTTTTTGTGTTCTCTCAATTTCTTTCAGCAGTGATTTGTAGTTCTTGTTGTAGAGACCTTACATCTCCTTGGTTAAATTGATTCCTAGGTATTTCAGTTTTTTGGTGACTATTTTAAATGAGCTTGCTTTCTTGATTTCATTTTCTGCTAGTTTGTTATTGATTTTTGCACGTTGATTTTATATCCTACAACTTTACTGAAATTGTTTATCAGCGCTAAGAGCTTTTTGGTAGAGCCTTAGAGGAAATCCCAATTTAAATGAAGGGAGAGATATTTTTCCTGAAATAGGTAAAAGAAAAGGAAAG